CCCATATCTTCATCATACCTCCACAAATCTAGGATTTATCCCCATAATTGAAATTGTGAATCCTCCACAACCAATTATCTATCAAGTTCGTCCAATCTTCATCTGATCATACTCAAAAGTGTATTAGTCCATCTATGGTTAGATCTCTGCTGAATTAATATATAATATCCATATTTATCCATGTTTATCCATGTTTTAGTGGTTTCGTACCCCTGATTAAACTACTTTGGGATTAGGCAATCACGACCCCCTGGCTCATCTCTTCAATTCTGGCCCATGTTCTAAAATCCATCCAATCTTCTATCTCTGTTCTCGCTTTTCGCTCTCATGTCATTCTCCTCCTCCTCCTCCTCCTCCTCCATCTCTCAACCACCTTCCTTCCTTTACCTCTCTCTCCCCTTCACCTCCAAAACCCTTTGACCTTTTCCTCATCCTTCTCAGACATCACCATCTTCTTGGAGGTTAATTCTCCTGCTTGCTTGCAAGCGTCACATTCCTTTTATTATAACTGCCTCCAAGAACACATTCATTCGTTGTTTACACCCACCCCCAATCATTCCGACCACAGTCACTCTCTCGAGGAAAAGTAAAAAACATCAATCAATCCAAAATTATCTTCTCAACCTCAATAGTTCTTCATTATTTACTTTTTGACTTTACGTCAACCGTTTCGACTGTTTCATATTGACTGTCCTATACCGAAAAAAGAATTAAAGATAATTCACCAATCGATCTTCCCAGTCTGATATTCGCATTGATTTCCCATTTCACTCGCACAGCCTGCTATTTACAGAGTTACCATATTCGAATCGCACCTGCCTTTGAGCGAAAAAGATACCCAAGACGACTACGATAATAGCAAACTCGTTTTATAATTTCTTAATCGATCGCACGTTTTAAATATCTCCTACAAGATCAGTCAAATTCGGTAGCAGGATTACCTATGCCAATATGGCGGACCATCAAAGATTAGCAAATATTGTTAGGTTGGCACGTCGAGTACCATTAGCAGAGGCGGCTGCAGAAGATATTGGTAATATTGCATCGATATTGAAAATGTCGTTACCAGATCCAGTTCTTATGGTAAGAAGTGCTACAACTTCTGCTGCCGCATCCTCAAGCACATGTGCTGCAGGTGATACTTCTGCTGCTTGTGAAAAGCCTGTCGGCCCTTCTGCCTACACTTTGCCCGTTATTCTAGGTATCGTGTAAGTTTAATTTATCCAAGATCTGGTGGGTTTGTTCTGAGCTCTAATCATTGGTCGTGATAGTATTCCTGTCGGCGGCGCCATCATCTTATTCACAATCCTGCAACGACGATACATGAAGAAGGCTAGGGAAGAGGATATAAATGATCCAACCAAGAATATGGACTTTGGTATGGGTAGAATCTCGAGAACCGCTGGTGGAGAATCAGGAATCTCAAACTTTGATGACGAGAAAGGAGGTGCTGTAAGAACACGACAAATGTCCTTGGATCTGGGAGGTAAAAGTCCATACTTACTACCACCGGAACTACAAAATTCTAGGGAAAGCCTTCATTCGCTCTCAAGAACAATCCATTCGAACGAGGATCCTTATCGTCCAGTACATGAAGCTGTTGGAGGTGGCTCTATACGTTCCAAACAAGGCCGCAATGGATCTTCAATTATGACTGAATCAAGCGCTGCTCCTTCCAAGGCGTACGATGTTGGCTCACCGGATGGACAAGGTCTCCTATCAAATGCTGCTTCAATGTCAAGAACAACTCCACCTTCAACCGGCTTTACTCCACCACCAAGGTCAAACTCGATCCCACCTGCTAACATGCCAGCGGAACCAAAGCGAGCTGCTTCCCCACCACAAGATGCTGCCAGAAAAGGTCTACCAGGTAATACACGCCCCCAAAATGGTTTCTCTTCTACTATGCCCGTTCCAATGCCCTATCCGGACCGGGAATCTTATGCTGGAAATCAATATAATGCGATCAGAGATAGTAACAATTACCTAGGCTCCTTAATCATTTCTGACCCCTCTGCTGCTGCTCCAACTGGCCCCGCTGAACCAAAGCCAAACACAACTCGTAAAGCACCCCCTCCAGCAATCAACACGTTACCAATGAATCCAAAAACTACTCCACAAGAGCAACAAAAGCCCCGAAACTCTGAGATTAGTGATTACGGTGATGGAATCGAGATTACACCACCATCCCCTGCTCGCGAAATCGCAAAGAACAAGGCAAATCGTTACTCCATGGATGTCCCACCTGAAGAATTTGCTCAAGCTGGTTTGGGTGCTCCTGGATTTGACCCTAAAAGACTTTCCATGGGTTTCCGACCATTACCTCCCGATGCTCCAGCTGATGCTTCAGAAGATCCTGAGACTCGTGCCAACAGAATTAGATCTTTCTACAAGGAATATTTTGATGACTCAAAGCCAGCACCACAAGGTCAATACATTGAGGATTATGATGCGAACTATCCTGGTCCAGGAGATTCTACTTACTTCGATCCAGCTACAAACAGCTTCGTTTTACCATATGCTGAACCTATCACGCGTCGTGCTATGACACCACCTCCACGTGCACCAAGATTCCAAGGTGCACCACCACGTTCTATGCATGGTTCAATGGGTGGTTCCTCAATGCGTGGACCTCCTAGAATGCCATTCAACGAGGGGCCAAGAGCATCTTCATCTGCTTCTCAACGCGGTCCTATGCCATCTCCAAGAAAGAATTTGCCACCCCCTGAACCCCTTACTTCGTTACCTACCCCATCCAAGCTCAGGGACGATTCATTTGCTTTACTCAACACACTCGACTTTGCACCAGAATTGAATGTCCGTGATCGTGTTGCCGGTCGATCTGAAAGTCCCTTTGGTGAAAGACGACCATATTCACCTGCACTTCCAGCATTTGCACCAATCGTTGGAGCATATGACGAACTTGCTGCAATGCCAAGCCCGTAAGTTTTTCCCTTGTTTAATTCGTTCATTTAAGAATTGAATCATTGAACTAACATGTAATACAGGCACATGTTGAGAAAATCTGGTACCTTCACATCCCTTGATTTTGCTCCTCCAAGACGATTCAAGGATCCAGATACTATGAGTGATGCTGGTAGTATCCGAAGTAACAAGAGTGGAATCTCGTCCGTTCAAGCAAATGCGATCAAAAATGGTGCTTATCGCGTCAGTAAAATTCCTCAAGATATCGTCTTTACCAAGGATGATATGGCTACGACTCTGAAACCAGAATGGGGTATGCGTCAAGGTATGTGAGGTGTAAGAGATGCAAAACTATAGGGATGTTTACTTTGTTCTTTCTGGATTGATGCATTTGAGCGCGCATTTTTGAAGTTTTCATACCTGTTAAGCCCTATCAATTGTCAATATTGGGTGTCGATTTCATACTTTGTTAACATAACGATGATTTACCATATGTGATTGTCAAACGATGGACATGGTTATTTGTTTTGTCGAAAGAAGTGCTGAATTGGCCTTGAATTGGTCTTTTCGAATGTGGATCGTTGACAGCTGGAGAATAATGTCTTTTATTGTAATTAGATGGGGAATTTGGGATTGGAGCCGAAGGAGTTCTGTTTTGTGTTTTTATCATTCGAGAAACACATCTTAGGGATTTTTTTTGTGGCGATTTCAAGGTTCCGCGATTTGCACATAGATATTACACCACATTGAGAAATTCAGATGATGGTGTGAAGATATGTGATGAGAGGTGTGGGAGAGAGGGGAGATTGATTGACTTGGAAAAAGTGAGACGAGCTGGTATCCGGTTGTCGAGAGAGGACCAGAAGAGGATGGTGGAATTTGAGAGAAATAGGATATGGATGGGAAAGGAAATGGGGGATCATGGTCGTCAGTCAATCAGTCTTTCTTGTATAAACTCAAAAAATAAATTCATAAAATTGAAAATTCAAATCAGATACATTTTACATTTACAGTCGATTTGTGTTTTACTCACATTAGTTTCACGCGCATTCATACATCGAGGAAATAGAGTGAGTTTCTGTCTATTGTGAAGCATATGATGGGTTCGTTGGTCGATAAGTAGGTACTTTTTGATGAAGTGATAGAGAGGAAGGTATAACGGAAGTAGTTGAATAAGGGGTAGGGTGTATGGGAAGAATGAGGGATGAAGAGGAGGATGGAAATGTATGGATGGGGATTGGAGTTAGATATGAGAATTGGGATTGGAGATTTGGATTAGCGATTGGAGTTGAGGTAGAGGGGGAGGGGGAGTGAGAGGTTGGGATTGGGGTTGGAATTGGGATTGGAATCGGAAGTGTATGAGTGATGGGTAATGGGTGATGAGGTTTACCTTTTGATTGCTGGTAGTGCGTTGACTGATGGCTTCTAGCAATGTGATGTTATTAAAGACTAACATAAAATTACTTCAATAGGGTGAAGTTTCAAAGCAATCGCTGGAATTATCGTAATGAAGCGCCGACGAAGACCTATGAATATGTCGCATTTTCTCACAAGGCAACTTTCCTCGCGTCATCAAACAGTGGACTCGGTATGAGAACCATAGAAAGGACTATCATATACGAGGAATCAACGACGATTTCAAGGGGCCATAGACTGATAAAGATGAAAGGCATGGAGCATGAAGTTAACGACTGGGGTCTGGAAAACCAAATCACCAAGTTAAGAAGTCACGAAGTAAGAATGGAGACTTATAAGAACAAACGTTGATTTGCTGTGCACAGTCGCAGCCTCATCTTACTCGAAGATCGTGGGGCTATATCCCAATAAAGTAAGCCACATACCTACAAAAAGTTATGATTAGCTTTTCTATGCATAGCCATGATCTTCAACTTGTTGTGTAGACCTTACCGCAGTTCTAAGTGTGTAATTGGGTACCTGCAACTTCGCCTCAATGCAACCTCAAGATAAGCACTCAGCTGACCAAAACCTCAACACTTCACAACCGATTATCCCCAACGGTATTCGAGAACACGGCTTTGCTTCATTCCTTTGAGCTTCTTGTGTGATCACCCCTAATGCATCTTTTGAAATACAATAGCGAGGGCCAGCTTGGTCTGGTCACGAATCCTGATGGCAGCGACACTCCAGAATACGCCATCCTATCGCACACATGGGGGGCAGATACAGACGAGCTAACCTTCCAAGACCTTATGAATGGTACTGGACAGGGGAAATCCGGGTACAGAAAACTTCAATTCTGTGGGGAACAAGCTAAACGCGATGGTTTGCGATACTTCTGGGTGGATACTTGCTGCATCGACAAAAAGAGTAGTGCCGAACTCCAAAAGGCCATCAACTCTATGTTTCGGTGGTATAAAAATGCTGTAAAATGTTATGTATATCTATCAGATGTTTCAATCAACAATCACGAGCAGTCTAACATCTTCTCGTGGTTGCCGTCTTTTCGGGAAAGTCGATGGTTTACCCGCGGATGGACACTACAAGAGCTCATTGCTCCGCCATCAGTTCAATTCTTTTGCTCGAATGGAATACTGCTCGGCGACAGAAAATCGTTACAACAAGAAATTCATGAGGTCACAGGAATTGATGTTTCGGCTCTCCAAGGAGAGAATTTGTCTGAATTCAGCATTGAACAGCGATTGTCATGGGCAGAAAATCGCCAGACGAAGCATGAAGAAGACAGAGCTTATTCCTTGTTCGGAATCTTTGATGTTTATATGCCACACCTCTACGGCGAAGGATCAGAAAATTCTTTTAGGAGGCTTCAAGAAGAGATCGAAAAACACGCAAAGAAACGCACTCTTGATGTCTCTACAGTCCTTTCTGCTGCTGGTTCCAACTCCACAAAAAGATCGAAAATCTCACATGATCAATCCTCCATTCACTTTTCTCGCCCTCAAACTGTGGAAGACCCCGAAAGAATTTTCGAGGACAAAATGAATGAGATTGATACGATCACGAGACAATCTATTGTAGATCAACTTTATTTTCCCAAAATCGATGAGCGCCTGACGAGTTTGACTGCTGCCCAAGGGACAACATGCCGTTGGTTTCTTACCAAATCGGAATACTTATCGTGGAACGATGTTTCGAAACGGCAAGATCATGGAGGATTTCTTTGGATCAAAGGAAACCCCGGTACCGGGAAGTCAACCTTGATGAAACTACTCTTCGAGGAGGCTAAGCTCAAGGCAAAGGGCGATTCCTCAAAAATCACGTTTTCGTTCTTTTTTCTGGCACGGGGTACTATTGAAGAAAGAACAATTACTGGTTTATATCGTTCTCTTTTGCACCAGCTTTTCGAAAAGATGATAGAGCTTAGAGATAGCTTGGAGTGGATGACAACCAGTGGCGCGAGAGGCATTGAAAGAAATGGTTGGAGTGAAGCTGCTTTAAAGCAGACGTTGAAGCATGCTATAGAAAGGCTTGGAAGCAAATCACTGATGATATTTGTCGATGCGTTGGATGAATGCGATCAGAAGCAAGCCAGCGAAATGGTATCGTTTTTTGAGGAATTATGTGAGCTTGCAGAAGTTTCGCAAGTTAGCTTGCAAATTTGCTTTTCTAGTCGACACTATCCCACTATAGTCATCCAGAAGGGTACGGAACTGACTCTAGAGTATGAACCTGGACATATGGAAGATATTCAGCACTATATCAAGTCAAAATCAAGACTAGGCAAAACCAAACAAGCCGAGGCTCTTCGATCAGAAATCTTCCAAAAGTCTTCTAACATCTTTCTCTGGGTCGTCTTAGTTCTTGACATTCTCAATTCCGAGTATAAGTCTGGCTCTAATTCAATTAAGAAAATCAGTGAGCGACTCAACGAAATCCCACCAGGATTAAACGATTTGTTTGAAATGATCCTCAAGCGGGATGGAAAGAACCTCGAAGAACTACAACTTTGTCTGAAGTTAATTTTATTTGCAAATCGTCCCTTGAAACCACAAGAACTCTATTTTGCAACTCAAATCGGTCTTGATGAAGATTGCACAGGTTTTTGGGACCAGGAAGATGTCAATATTGACCAAATCAAATTATTTGTGAGGAACTCCTCCAAAGGCTTGGCTGAGGTGACGAAAAATAAAGCTTCAGATGTACAGTTTATCCACGAGTCTGTTCGGGACTTTTTGTTAGGTAGATACGAGACTCAATTGTCTGGAGCCCCCGGGAATTTTGTCGGCCATGGCCATGAAACGTTGAAGGATTGTTGCTTAGCTCAATTAAACGCTGTCATCAACCAAAAGGTTATAACACATTTCAACTTTAGCAAATCAAACTTCTGGGAATGTCGTAATATGAAATATCCATTTTTAAACACAACACATCCTGAATCGGGCATCCCACCCGCGCAACGTTCCAAGGAAGAGCAGTCGAAGTTTCAAGAGGAAATCAAATTGAGATTTCCATTTCTTGATTATTCAGTGTCCAACATTCTGTATCACGCCAATCTTGCTCAACAGAATAACATGGAGCAAGCAAACTTTCTAGCAAAATTCCCCACCCATCTATGGGTATTTGTGAATAATTATTTCGAGAATCACGAAATTCGACGATATACGGACTCGGTAACTATTCCCTATCTTCTTGCAGAAAGAAATCTAGCCAACCTCATTCAAACACATCCGAGAAAGGAGTCATGCTTTGATATAACAGAGCAGCGATATGGACCGTCAATTCTGGCTGCTCTGGCTACTGAGAGCGATGAAGCTGCTCAGACGCTCCTTAAAATTGAAGCTGAAATATATCCCTCAAACTCTCTACTGCATGACTTGTGCAAAACATATCACCCTAAAAATAACAAAAGTGTCAAGCTTGGACGCAGCTTCACTTACATACAAAAGAAAGATCTTGTTTTTCAGCTCTCACAGTACGATCAGGAGATACCACTCGTTTTTAAACTCAGTTCGGACGAGAGTTGGTTTGATTCGAATCTGACCGATCACAGCAAGAGATTGCTCACAGAGGCTGTTGAAAGGGGTCATTGTGTTGTTGCTACGTATTTGTTGGAGAGGGGTATCGATGCAAACCGTATAAAAGAAGTTGGTAGGGTATCACTTCTGGAGAAAGCTGTGATTTGCGGCCACACGAATATTGTTAAATTGCTATTGGGTTATGGCGTTGAGATTGATTGTTGGAACTCCAACAACGAAACACCTTTAATGGTAGCCATTTACAAAGGACATCTAGACATGGTCAAATTCCTATTGGAGAAAGGCGCTAGGGTCAACCATAGAAAAAATAACGGAGCAACGCCTCTGACAATGGCCATACAGTATGGACACGGAGATATAGCTAAGCTATTATTGGAGAAAGGCGCTAGGATCAACCATGGAAAAAATAACGGAGCAACGCCTCTGACAATGGCCATACAGTATGGACACGGAGATATAGCTAAGCTATTATTGGAGAAAGGCGCTAGGATCAACCATGGAAAAAATAACGGAGCAACGCCTCTGACAATGGCCATACAGTATGGACACGAAGATATAGCTAAGCTATTATTGGAAAAAGGCGCTGAGATCAACAATCGAGGAACTAACAAAATAACACCTCTGATGTTTGCTATTGATTGTCGAAATAAGAATATAACTCAGTTGCTATTGGAGAAAGGTGCTGAGATTGATTGTCAGGACTCGAGCAATCGAACACCTTTGATGATGGCTGCTTTCCAAGGAAACCTAGAAATAGTCAAATTACTATTGGAGAAAGGTGTCGAGATTGATTACGGAGGGATCGAGAATAACACACCTCTGATGATTGCTGTTGATTGTAATCATGTCAAAACTGCTAAGTTATTATTGGAAGAAGGCGCTGAGGTCAACGTTAAAACAGGGCTTGATAACACACCTTTGTTGCAAGCTAGTTGGGCTGGATCCCTGGACATGGTCAAGTTGTTATTGGAAAAGGGCGCTAAGGTTGATTATCGAGGCTATAATAATCAAACGCCTCTAATGAATGCTGCTTTCTATGGACACGAGAATGTAGTTGACTTGTTACTGGAGAATGACGCCGAGATCAATTGCATGGATTTCAGTGACGAAACGCCTTTGATGAAAGCTGCTGGTGGTAGAAATATGAGTATAATGAGTTTGTTAATAAGAAAAGGCGCCAGGTTTGATTGCGAAAAGGATATTTTTGGTATAGTGCTGTTAGAACTTTCGCAACTCGGACGCACAGAAATGGCTAAGCTTCTTCTACAAAATGGCATGAATGCAAATTTAAGAGACAAAGACTGCCTGTTTCTAGGCTGGACGCCGCTGATGCACGCCGCTGTGTGGGGTCACGAGGCAATGGTTGAAATATTTTTGGAAAATGGTGCTGATATTGACGCAAAATGCGGTGATGGGTTGACCTCATTAAAGAGAGCTGCTATGGCAGGGCAAATTTCTATTGTCAATTTGTTATTAAAGAGGGGCGCTGAGGTTGATTGAAGAATGGAATCCCCTTACAACGAAATTTTAAGCCCAATTTTTCGAGTGAATGATGCTACATTTGCAATGTTGTTGGACCAGGGCGTTCATTTCGAGAACGAGACCACGAAGATAAATCATCCATTGGTACAGGCTATCAGAGAAGCTATTTCAAAAGATCACATATCAATACTCAAGCTCTTGCTTACAAAGTCTTATGGTATCAATGTGGAGGATGGGGAGGGTCGAACACCGTTGTTCTGGGCTATTGATTCTCGGCATGAAAATATGATCAATTTATTATTGGATTGGGGTGCTAATATTGAATTGAAAGACAAATATGGTTGCACACCATTGATGTATGCCACCTTTCAAGGACCTTACTTGTCTAATGTCAAGACATTGCTAGACCGCGGTGCTGACATTGATGCTAAGAATATCGAATGTTCATCACCACTATCCATAATAAAGAAATATCCTGCTTTTCTTCATTTGTTGAAGAAAAATCTTCTCGGGTTGAAGCTTGATAGCTGAGTGCTTCCTGCGAAGGTGTAAGGCTCCTTTCAAACAGTTAAAGAGAGCGACAAGGCTAATGATGGGCTGTGAAAGGCATATCATTAGGAAACACAACTGCAGTGTCATTCTTTTCATATAGTCCAGTATGGCAGATATGAACCATGCATACCCTAAACATAAATCTAGACATCCAACTAAGGGCGTCCATGAATCATGCTATCATGGCACGACCAATTTTATCTACATACAACAATGTGGGGGATTTTGAGAGGGGACGGCAGGAGCGTGAGGCTTTTGTGTATGAACTGAATGACTTGGGACCTGGTAGATCTTAGGATACAGTTTTGACCCGATACTCGGGACTAATAGGAGATTTTACGCCGAATCCGCTGGCGGACTGGGACTGTTCAAACGGTAGACCTCTCCTTCTGTTCGCAAATACTACGTCGGCGAAAGGGTACTTCCCAGGCCGGCCGCAAAACAAGAACGCGGATATCCAAAGCTCATTGACAATGATTTCTGTAGGAGTGTATGAGAATGATTCAGTCCGTAGGCCATTTAGCCACATTAGCCCCCAGCAAACCAACCACCAAAACATTATTCCACGACTATTCTACCACCAACTAAAACAAAGGAAATGAACACAAAGCAAAATGCAACTGCCGTGAATCGAACACGAACCTCCACCTTGGAAGGGTGGAATCCTAACCATTGGACCACAGAAGCTTGATGAGCTTACAAACTGCTTTATTATTTATTGTATTCTCACTCTGACTTTGAATATATAAATATGTGGCCAAAAATTTTTCCACTTGTGGAGTTGGGTGGGGTGGGGTGGAGATAATCTCTGTGTGAATGTTCTTGGACCCCTAGCGGGGACGAAGCGAGACGATAGTGGATATTGGATAGGTTTTTGCCTTGGCTTTGAGAGTGGAATATTAGATAAGATAGTATTTATTGTCTGTTGTTCGGAATTTTCTGGGGATATGGTGAATTGGTTACAATAAGGTATAGAAGTTAGAATAGCTAGATTTCCTCGTTGCTTTAATCGGATTTGAGGATAAATGTATGTGATTTTGTTGTCGTTTTGTACACTTATTGCTGTGAATATCCATTGTGATCACTCGTAGCTCAAACGAAAAGAGAGTACATCACCGAAGAAAAAAACCCCAGGACAGATCGCAAGAAGTATTAAGAGTACTTGAGATGTAGTTTTTTGGCGAGTGCGGACACATAATGCCCGTATGTTGGAGATCGGAGATACAATTGGAATAATACTTCAACCTTCCAAGATGAAGAGGATTCATGTATTGACTTGTTATCTGATAGCATTTCGATTGGGAGTACTCCACTAGAAGTAATAGGATTCTTACTCGCTCCATATTTTGCCAATTCCCAAGAGAACTTTCCCTATGGTTTAACGACGGAAGCCGAAGGCAGAATAGAACAGGACTTCATCATCTGTGTAGCAGACGTCAAACACGCAGATACTTTCTACATGCTTCATGATTACGACTGTGAGTACCTTTGCCCGACGAGATAATCGATCCTACTACCACTCAGAACACTCATTGTCGTCAATGACCACCCCAAAACTACCAAACGGAGCAGAAGACATTCCGAACACTATCGAAATGAAGAATAGGATTTAAAAACAAGTATCCAGCACTTGCACACTGTAAGATTGTACACGCCCAAGGCTTCTCCTACAAGCTTTCTGACATAATATACCATAAAAGTTCCTAAGATATGATGCTCGAGAGTCAGCTGGTTTGTACAGTCATCGTGCGGACAGCAGCGCCTTGACGCTGCAGTTAATGAATGATAAGATTCTTTTTTCTTCTTTTTTCTTCTTTTTTTGCTGAGGAATATGACGGACACAGTAATGCAGTATGAAAGAGGCTGTGATAATACCTAAGAATTTTGGCGCAAACAAGCGCCAGTCTTCCATGCTTGATTGAAGTCCGTACCACCCTCTCCCCCCCAAATATCGATCTTCGTGCGCAAATCACTAACTGTTACTAATAAAAGAAGCAATCATCCAGGATTCGTCACCACGGTTTCAAGAACCGGGCTACTGTTGTTGATCACGTTACTAATCCGCAGCATTGTCGGATCGTTGCCGAAAATATTCGTGGTCAACAGGGAAGTGAGGGGTATTGATATTACTGGAGTTGCTGGATCATCATGGTGTTCTATTAATAGATTACATATGTACATCTACATCACGCGTAAGAAATAATTCATAGACACAAGACTGAGTGTTGCTCTTATTGATGAGACAGATAACTTTGGAATATGGATGGAAGAAATATGTTTTGTAGCGTTAGAGAAGGATATGTGACATAGTAATGTCCTGTAATAGGAATTACGCACTCATTAGGTAGAGATACAAACCGTTAACACTCTCAAAGCTTGATATTGCAAACTAAGGAACTCCAAAATGCGACTATGTAAGGACCTCCTCCATCTATCAGCTTTATGAACATCTCCCTAAATCCCCTTGAAGAGCTTGCCGGTTCATGGGGGATCGACAAAGATAATCCCGATCACCATTTATTACCGTTCCGATCAAGAACCTATCAAATCGGAGCGTGTCCTCGATTTGGAGTATGGTTTTATTGTTATTATTGGGGGATAGGGCTGATCATTGCTGCCATGATGTGTGTAAAGAGTATCATTCAGAGAATCAAACGACAGCAATAGATGGTCCGGGTTTCAGCGACAAGTGAGAAGGGGTTGATTGATGGATGAGCAAATAAATTTTCCTGATCAATCTCAGATATTCAGATATATGGGCTGTAACTCAGTAGTCATACCTACATATGTCTAATTAAAGTGCTTGATACATATAAGCCTTGAATATGCACTGCGTAATGACTTGATCCCCAAAAAAAGAGGTAGAAGGATGGAGTAAACCCGATACGATCACCAGACTGTCAAGCCAATGATGATTGTCTCACTCATTCTCCCCAGAAAGGTAGATGAAGCGTGCGACCAGACATATTTGCAGTAAATATATTTGTATCATGGGGGACTGGGGACCGATTGTTTAGAAGCTTGAGGTATTTGACAGAAGTAAAATGTATAAACTATTGCTTTTTCCACAGATTGCATAATGATACCAGGTGACTAACACTCTGACCTCCACTACGTAAACCTAAATAAAAATGAAGAAATAGAAAGTCGACAAGCCTGACTTGTTTAGTCGTTACCATGAGGTCTTCACATTGCCGAGCAAAAGAAACTACTCGGCTTAAGGTTTATCCTTTCGGTAGTAAAATAGAACGCATTGTGTTACTTACATCTTGCAAATTGACTGTCTGCGATTTGGTCTCTCCGCTCAAAGGTTTCGAATCTGTCTTTCAAGCGATCGAACAATTGATCGCGTGATATAATCTTGTATATTTTATGACTAACAAGAATATTATTGATCATCAACCACGAACAGAGCTCTAATACAATTGTTGAGAACCAGAACAATATCAGCATTTTCAAGCATTGCGAGTGAGAAAACGGACAATTCGGACATGCCTGTTATTTCATTCTTCCCTTGCCAGGAGTCTCACAAACTTAACTTGCTGTAATTCTAATTCAAGAGAAGCACTAAGCTGGGAGTAAACCTTGAGGTCTAACCCTCCTGGATACAACTTCTCGAAGAAAAAATTGACATGCACACTATGAAAAAAAAAATACTTGGAAATGAATGCCCAAATTATGGCCAAAAGTCTGACTTCTGCTCCTTATCTTGGTCCTTGACAAAACCTTAAGCAAAACTGATTGCTTGGGCTCGGAACGGTGAGTCAAATTTGACCGCATTGTAATCATCATAAAGAAAATATGTGATGGGGGCCTGTATGAGGGCCTGCTCGTTGATAATGAATACTTTTTTCTTATCGTCGATGGCCCAGCAACTTTCTTAGATATACGATTTACCCCTGGAAGCGAAAGAGCAATACGGTGTCAATCTCGGCCCCTACCGAATGGACATGGCAGCGTTGCTGCCATGTGGCCATGCCAGAGAATACTAGGTGGATTCTTGCACACCTAAGCTAGCGGTGTGAGTGTGGTCGGTCGTGAAGGGGTAGCGAAAATTTGCATCGTAGGAATTTCATTATCGGAGAATAAAAAGAACCCGGTAGTGACCAATGTTCTAGAATATACAATTTCACCACATGAATGTTTCTTTCAGAAGCACGTTTTCATAGTGGAGAGTGGCTTGCTTCGGCCTTCACATTTCTCGTCGGAAATTCCGAGTTTATCGTCAGCCATGTAGTGTGATTGGGCAATGGTGGATCACACATGCCACGGAAATGAAGTCTGATAGTGGAGTGCCAGCAATAGTGGCATTGTGGATGATAAAGTTCGCACGGCCAAAAGCGTGGGGGGTTGCAGCGGTGAATTTGTTTTGGTATTTTCAATGCGATGATGGTGAAGTACAGCTCTTTGCATGCCATCACATCTGAATTGACGATATTTCCATGTGTTGGGGTGTTGACGTGTTTAGTTCGTGTGGGAATTCTTTCAGAAATCGATCGCTCAAACGTTGAGTGGACAGATAATCATCGGTACTCATGGTGTCATCGAAAGCCGATGAATAGAATCCAGCAGGACAATGAACTTGTCTTCTTCAGAATTGATATCTTTGCGTGCATCGAACTATGTCAATAGAATGAAAAGTCTATTTTGAAACTGGCGAGATGAGTTCTATTTCGGATACCCCTATACCCATGTTGGAGAGTCCGTCTCCGGAATCAATGGTGGTCGATGCTCATTACAGAGTAGACATTTTTCACGGTAATCAGAGGAAGAACTGAAACTGCCGTTATAACAACAACATGCAGGTTCCAAACGTGCTCAAGATGAATTCTACTTTTGGCAACTTCAAGTTATCAATCAAGCATTCGTCAGTTTGTCTTTAAGTGACAAAATTGATCGCCCTGATCGTCTTGATTGACCTGTCCCATGATTATGATTATCAGGAGTAATTAGCAACGTAGTTATATATGGTAATTATT